GAAAACTTCTATTTATCAATTATTTTAATACTAAAAAAGGAAAATAAACATACTTTATTTCAAAGAAAAATTAGTTAACTGAGTATTATACAGTAATTAAAAACAACAGTTACTTTCTTTGCAAATACTTTTTTTAATAAATATACATATCCTCTTATTTAGTTTTGACTTGCTTTTTGTAGTCTTCATTTTTTATTTGCTAAAATGCATAAAGTATGTTAATAATTTTTGTTTTATTTTATATAACTTTTTAAATTTGGCGCCTCAAGAAATTTTACTTTTTTCATACGTCAATGCTTTCTGTTCGTATATTGCAAGTTACGAAATAAATAGAGAAGTGAATATTCATGGTTGACGTGAAGAGCACGAAAGGGATCTATGTGTTTGCGATGGCCATATACGGAACGTTGTGGAAAAAATGAAATAGAAAAACGGGTTTAGAAAAAGATATCGCAAACTATACAGCTACATGTATATGCTTTCCCATTGTACCATTCTCTGTTGTAAATATATTATAAAGAGGGTTTTATATAGAAACATATAAATTTTATTTTCATTTGAAAAAGTGTGATGTTGAAGATTATTTTACATATTACAATAAAATTAGGCATAAAACCATGACGAATAAAGAACTATCTGGTAAGTTTAGATTGAAGATACATTTAGATTGAGACATTCATAATGTAAATTTTCAGTTAATTTTAAGTTATATTTCTATTAAAAATTAATGTTATCAATAATTTCTAGGTTCCCATGCTATAATGGATGAGGAAAACGTAAGTATTTCAAAAATCGTTTTTTATTCGCCAGACAGAAAGGTTAGGTTTTTATGTTTGATAGCAATTTATTCAGTATGTGTTATTTTAAGATTAAAAATGCATTTTCTCTTTAGGGTTGGATTTTCTTAAGGAATAGCTGACATTGTTTATTATCATCTGCATAAATTTGTTTTAATTTTTACTATTTTAGCAAGAAGATACATTCAAAAATGCAAATGGTCGAAAACGTCCTAGAACTAGTGAAGACTTTTATTTATTTTGCACATATATACTAGAATATGAAAATTATGATGCCCAAAAAAACGAGGTAAGTTGTTTTCTCATAATTAGATGGTTAAGATACTTCTGTTATGGCTGCATTAGTTATTTTATTGTTTAGGAGTATTTGCAGATTTTTAACCATATTTATATGATTATCTGGTTAATTCATTTGTATTGCTCAATCAAATGTAGAGGTGGAGGTTTGGTGTGTGATATAAATATAATTATAATTTTTTAGGAAATTAGGAATTCTACAAATCTTAGTCCTCCTCTAGATAGTTCAGGTAGTAGTGTCAATTCTGAATCAAATTCTGAAGCAACTAACTCTGGACAAGACGATAAACCTAGTGGTGACGAAACTGATGAAGGGAACGACTCACATGATCTAGTCACTTGTTATTGTGGAAAGCCGTTTGCTGGTAGACCCATGATTGAGTGTTCACTTTGTCTTACCTGGATACATTTATCTTGTGCACGAATTAAAAAGAACAACATCCCAGATGTAAGTGTTAAACATAAAAATTATATTATTTAGATGTCATTGTACTGGCTTAAATAGGTCTAATGTTTTCTATAATTATAGGTATTTCACTGTGCCATATGTAAAGCAAATAAAAAACAAAGGGCTGTGTCTCCTTCGAATCCTCCTGATAAAAGTAAGCGCCACAAGAAGCCATCGTAAGTAATCCAATTGTATATATTAACTGAGTTAAGATCAGTTTGTAAAAATATGTAAATACTCTGAACTGTACATTTAATATTGATATGTTTTTAATAAGAACATTTGTAACAATAATGAATATTCTTCAAGAACTGTAACATCTTTTATGTTTGTTATATAATGTAATTGTGATAAAAAAAATCGCCCACTATTTTTATCTACTGATAGATACCCACTATTTTTGTAAGTTTGCAAATTGACGTTTGGAATTTTTCAACCAAAGAACTGTTTGATGAAGATCGAATTTAATGAGGTGAATTATCTCACTGATTTTAGGGTGCAAACATAATATGATGATTTTCGTATAATTTTTATTTTTTATATTGTGAAAGGAGGTGATATCCTATCTCAAACACATCAGTTCAACCAGACAATACATTAATATTGTGTACAGTGTACACTGATATTTTTAAATATGGTATGTGATAATAAATATGAATTCTTGTCTTATATTAGTTAAATTGGCATTACTAACTAATCATAAGTAACTATTAGACTCGAAATGAATGAATATCTTAGTAAAATAACAAATTATTTAGAAAATATATTGTTTTTATCTTTTTTTTTTAATTGGTAGTTTTATTTTTACACAAGACTGAAAAAATTTTCAGTAATAAATTCATTTCCTATCGTGTTGGTAATTTACTATTTATATTCTAAATTGTTAACCAATACACTGGAATAATAGTAAAAACTATTGCAGTTGTTTGTTGCTGTTTTACAAAAAAAATGGTGAGGTTCTTTTTTGCTGATTCTACCACTATTTAGAATATATGTTTGGTTGATTTAGATGAAGAGTAATGTAGTATATTGCCTCTAAAGGTACAGTTTTGTTTAAAAAGGTAAATATTTGTAAGTTGTAAATATGGTTAATTCTAAGCTGAATTGTAGATTTATCTCCTTTTTTTTTTACTTACATTGATGTATTGTGCAATGAATTTTTCTCATACAATTTTAAATGGGAAAATAAAATGTACATTTTTTCAATGATGTTTGCTATCATTTGTTACAATATAATATAAAATAAAGGTATTGATTTTTTAATGAGTACTAAAATTTGTAGTATAAATTTGTTTTATATCATTAATAGCAGCTGTTAATTTGTTCCTTTTTTTTTTAATTTGTAATTGAATATTTTTTTCTGACACGTAGTTTTATTTATTCCTTGCCTTAACCTGTTCTTTCTTTTTAAATTGTGCGATGTATTTATTACAAGGAATATTTCATTCTTGGAAGTAATTGCAAAATAGAGAATATTTCTAAATAAAATGGTTTATAACTTCAGTTGCAGAAGTTGCACTTCTAATAAAAAACTATAGTAGCCTATAAAATGCCAATATAAAACNCAAGCAAATAACTAAATTAATCTTCTTATAAAATTAATAGTAAATGATTCTGTGTTTGAAACATGAAATTATTTTTTAATGTGTTAAATTAAATCGTAATAGGTATGCTAAGAAAATATATATTAACACATTTAGTATTTAGCTCTGGTTTTTGTTATGGTAGAGGCACATTTGCTTAATAAAAAATTAATATGTATTGAACGTCCTTTCTAACTGAATAAGTGTGACGCATGTTATTAATTTGAGCTATTTTAATTGCTGTGGATAACACAGATGTAAATGCGTCAATTATGTGATTTTTAAAGACCTAGTAAACTGTACGGAAAAAGACTTGTATCAGCTAATTTTTGCTATTTTTAACTCTGAAAAATGTAAAACAATTGGATTAAGTTTATTGAAAAGCTTCATAAAAAGTATCCTTTAAAACGTGACAGTACTCAATTTAATTAAGTATATATACTATAAAATAAATCAAAGTTTGCTTTAATTGTAAAATCGATAAAACGAATTTGATTTTTAATTAAACAGGTTTCGCTTGTCTTATCAGATTGATTAGAAATGATTATTAAGATATATTTTTTATTTCCACACTATAATGTGTTTATCTCTAGTATTGCATAAGTATAAAAATTAATTTTCCTTTTAGAAGAAATACAAAATAGCATTAGAATCATTATTTGCATTTATTATTAAGATGAAAGATTTAAAAGAAATGGCTATGATACTAAAAGAATATGATTTTTCAGGTCATAGACTTCGGATCATCGTGTTATGAACATCAGAGAGTGTATACCTACATCCAGTCTCGTTTTTATCGGGCTCCTGAAGTAATTCTTGGAGCGAAATATGGGATGCCAATCGACATGTGGTCTTTGGGTTGCATACTTGCAGAACTTTTAACAGGATTTCCTCTTCTTCCTGGTGAAGACGAGGCTGACCAACTCGCTTGCATAATGGAACTACTTGGTATGCCTCCGCAGAAGCTTTTAGATCAATCAAAACGCGCTAAGAATTTCATAAGTTCAAAGGGTTATCCTCGTTATTGTACAGCGACCGCTTTGGCAGATGGTACAGTAGTGTTAAGTGGCGGGTTGAGTCGCAGAGGCAAGCCAAGAGGCCCACCTGGATCGAAAGAACTTAAACGGGCGCTTAAGGGTTGTGATGACCCACTGTTTCTAGATTTTATTAAGCGCTGTTTAGAGTGGGATCCTGATGTACGTATGACACCTGCGGCTGCATTACGTCACGCATGGCTTCGTAGACGTTTACCCAGACCTCCGCAAGAGAAGAGCGAGCCCACAAGAACTCCGACCGGCTTGCGTACCCCCAAAAGTAACACGTTGCTAAGTAGTAACAGCAATAAGGTACGTGTACAACTTAGCGATGAAAGATCGGCAACATTACATTCTCAACATAGCACGCATTCAGGGAAGTTGCCCCCTGTCACGTAGCCTATTTCTGATGTGGTACTACATGTGATTCTAGGTTAATTCTAAGTAGTCAATGACTGTGTTTTTAACACATATCGTGCGTAGTATTGTGATTGCATTAATAGTTACTACCATTAAAGATGGTGACTTAAAGCAAGATGCACACATGTATTTGAGTGTTTGTAAGTGTTAGTAACTTACAATGATTTTATAACGTTTCGATAATCCATAGAGTAAATATTAATATGTATATGTCTACCCTGACAAACCCAATTTCAAACTATTAAATACATCTCTTTAAAACCGCCTCTCATATGTGAAAATTAATGTAAACGCTAATTTGTGTTCTCTCCTTTTTATTAGCTTCTTATAATCATTCTTTTCCGTGTACTTTATTATGATATTTTCTTGAAAAGTAATGTAGATTGACTTTGTGGTTGGGTGTGATAGGGAAATATATACGTGTTAATTCATAATAAGCAGAATTTAGTAATCAAAGATAATTTATTTAATAGGCGTTGGCTTGCATCCATTAATTAAAAGTCGTCTGGATTTGATTTTGCAAGTTAGACTGTTCTGACACTGTCGTTTATATATTTTTATTGTGCAATAATTTATTAACTAACCAAAAGTTAGTCCTGTTTGATTTAAAGGATCTTGAAAGTAGTGACACAATGTTTAAAGTCTTAATGTGGCAATAAATTAACATTTTCAAAAGTAAACCAAAGGATAAGAAGATATCATACAGATTTCTTGTGCTATATCCCTTTTCTTTTTTCTTTAACTACGTTTTATATTTAAAACTTACCATATTTGATAAATTTATGAATTAACATGGTATAACAATTTTAAAAAGGTAATATGTGATATATTAATTGCGAGTGAATAAGAAATTTTTATTGTACCTGAAAGTGATATAAGTTAGGTGTTTGCTTTCAAGATTCATTAAAAATTCTTTAACCGAAGTTATATACTTAACGATTAGTAATTTTGTGCAAGTTATGGAGCTGTATTGGATTTAAGCTGAATAATTATTATTTGCTCAATAGTTAAGCTGCATTTGAAAAGTAAAGAAAAAACAATGGGTCTTAATACTAATAAACTTTTGTATATTTGATAATATAATATCTCTTAGAAACTGAACCGCAGTGATAGATCTACGTTTTTCAAGGTTCGTACATAATTTTAAATTAAATTCAGGGTATAGGCTCGATTCTTGAGCAACGTGACTGCTTATGATATTTCAGTAGCATGCTACATTTACATTGCATTTATTTTCGGTAGTAGCAGAAGTCAACTTTTAACACACTGTTATATTTTTTCTTCAGAAATGTAATAATTATAATGGTTTCTTTTTGTGGTTCCACACACAATCATCTTAAAGGTATTTTAAAATTAATGAACATTAGGCATTTCTCACAAGTAAAATATTTTATTCACGGAACCGCTTATTTGAAAGTTGTTATTAAAAGATAATTTTATTACATTGCTTTCAAAATTTCAGATTCATATGTAATTAAGGGCCAATAACTCTTACACTTCCTATTGCTGTGTGTTATAGTGTTATATAACACAAGGGTTTAGCAAAGAAACACATTAATGAACAAAAAGAGAATAGAAGAACAGAAATATTGTATGTATATAATAGGGCTTATATTTAATCATTTTAAAAATACTTCACACATTTTGCATAAAAATCAACTTGCATTATTCAGATCTAATGCAGTAAATATTCCTCAAAATACTGTTGTAACAATTTTTTTATATAACTACTGATAACCGACATCCAAACAGATACTTATAGTTATTGTACTTTTTGTTTTTTTTTATAAAAAGGTAGATTTTTAGCAACAAAATTGAGCATTTCTAGAACACAATATTCTTCTTTATATCGAATTATTTCGTTTTAAAGTAATTTACCAGTATAATGGCATATTTAAAAGTATGCCAGTTATATGGAAAAATGAGTGTTAAAAATTAAATTTTTTCATCCCGATTTTTGATCTGCGTCTGTTTTACGATTACATGATGATTAATACTTAATTTTTTTTTGTAGCCTTTACAAGTCTCGTTAAGATTAATTTCCGTTTTATTTCGATTTAATTCACTTATTTTATTTTCAATTTTCCAAACCGTTCCGTCCANCATACACAATAAAATTTGTAGGCATGAAAAAGATATAAATTATATCACTACTAATTTTTATGACACTTGATACATATCAAAAAATATTCCCAGTATAGTAGTATCAAAAGTAACAGTGTAAAGAATTCATTTTAATTTTAATAAGTAGTTGCTAGTTTAAATTTTTAATACACTGTCCCTTTTTACAAACACATTTAATCTGATATACATTGATGCATGTAAATCAATAAAATTTTAAGTAAAAAACAGTCTTTTTCAGATGGAGTAAACAAGTCGTTACTATAACACGTTTCTTGTTAACACTGATTTTACTTTTACTTCATGTATTTCCGTTTTTTTAGAATTACTTGGTAAATGCAGCAAACACTGCCCATAAAACTTCTGTAGAATTTGGCTTAACAGATTCTTGTTCAAAATCCAAATCCAGAAGTTCTCGGACTCTTTTTGATGCTAGCTCGTAATCATCGTCATTGAGCGGGGCAAAAGCATTCTCTAAAACATCACTGGCATGGGCAAGGAATATCAGAGCCAGCATTCGCTTATCCATGCGTTGTGGATCATTTATCCATTTTGTTAATACTGCATCTTGAATCTACACAAAATTGGATATCAAAATACTTCAAACATTATTAAAATAAAAATTACCTTTTTAACAAGGCGACATTTTGTAACGTTGTCGGTAAGAGGATGGGTTGTCATATCAAAAAGCAAAAAATTCTGTTTCTCAGTGGTTAAAACGCCCTTTTCAACTAAATTCTTTGCTAAACGTTCTCTCACGTTTTTGAGTTGATATCGCAATTTTAGCGGATTCCATGTCTCGCCTATTAAATCAAAGCAAACGTCGTAATTTTACGTGTATTGAAAACTTAAAAGGAATTGTTTAACGTTTTCATTCAGAAAATGAAGATTATTAATTTAATAAATGCATCTTTTAAGTATAAAATCATTTATTGATAAAAAGTAAAATGCGTTTTTAAATACAGTGAATAGCTTTGTAAAAAATGCTGTCAATTGAAAAGAAAAATTTGTGATTAGTTAGTGTTGCGAGGCAATACTTCTGATTGTCGGCATTTTTTACAAGTTTAATGGCTGTATATAGATAGTGCCTATAGCAGAAATTAGTAATGTATCGCTCTTTGTTTAGATAAAATAAATATTAGATTAAATGTAAATAATATAGACTATATAGTAATAGCTCTAAAGACATACTTCAAGTTATTTTTAAAATTTATTAGGACTTTTGTGTTACTTAAATATTTTTTATAAGTAATAATTAAGTACTTTCATCTTAAAAATTCGATGATAAATATTAAAAATGAACGGTAGCAAGGACAATCATATTTTTTGTATAAAAATTTTATTTTTTTTGTAGTTCTTACGTGTACACTTCCTGAGCTTATTATTAAATTAAGTTTAACTGTCTGAAAATTTCTTTCACTCGTTTTTACCTGATGATTTTGAAAAGTACTTACAGTATGAATTTAGAGTTTACATATATATATATATATATATCTTTGTGCTTTTCTTGCTTTAATGATTTAAGCTTCTGTAAACTCTGGGTAGAGATTAGCATAAAGAAGCTATGATAACAGTTATGATCTGCAACTTTATTAAATTTAGACTAGCATTGAATGGAAATTGTGTGTTCACTTCCTCTCATTTGTAATGATTTCTTTTTGTGTTGCCTAAATATTTTGACTGAATCTAAAATTGTATGGAAACTAACTGGTTTGTTAGTATTTAGTATTAATCTGTTTGTTTTTTTTTTACGTTATAATTTATGTGTAGGAAGTAGTAAATGTCAGCCTCATGTGTAAGTAATTGTCCTCTTGTAATTAAGGCCTTACAGGGCTCTTTATAACTCGGCCTAGGGTTCTTTTGTATTTAATTGTACGGGGCCACACCATCGCTCATTTTGTATGTATATAATTAAATAGTCCGAATACAAACTAATAACTGAAGGGCTTGATCTCTTTAATGTTAATTATTAACTAAGGGCAAACTGCTCGGGCCTTATAGTTGTGAACTGCTCTTCTGACCACTCAGCCATTGGTCCTTTTATTGTAGCACAAAAGTGTTCCAACTTTGGTCTTTTTAAGACTACTTACTATTGCCCTAACCATTAGTTTTAGAAATAATGTGATGTATGTTTTCTAGGTAAGTCATGTTTATACATCATACTGATCAGTTAAAATCCTCTATTGTAAGTTTTCATTCTATATAGTATGATGGTAAAATATATCATTTTTTGCAGTTCCTGGAATTTTATTTGCTACTAAACACTAAAATAGTCTATTATTATAATTAACCCAGTGACTATGCAGTTCTTTTTTACAAGGCGAGGGTGACTGCTTTTTTATTGTGTTAGTTTTTGCTTCTAATAATGTCTTTCTTATGGTAAGTAAACTGCATACTAAAAATAAAATTAATTAGCCAGAAAATTCATTTTATTTACATTACATTCTTTTTACAAAATTATAATCATAATTTAACATAAAATATATTATCAAATATTATTACAATACAATAATTCGTGCCAATTACATCATTAAAATTGAATAATCGTAATACAATACATTAACCTGCTCGAAGGAAGTTAATTATGATGTTTGCTTATTGGGCGTTTTATGTATAAACAAATTTTATATGATCACAAAGTGCAACTGATGCACATAACAAATAATGAAAATATAAATACTAAAGTGTTTAATACATACACAATAAAATTTGTAGGCATGAAAAAGATATAAATTATATCACTACTAATTTTTATGACACTTGATACATATCAAAAAATATTCCCAGTATAGTAGTATCAAAAGTAACAGTGTAAAGAATTCATTTTAATTTTAATAAGTAGTTGCTAGTTTAAATTTTTAATACACTGTCCCTTTTTACAAACACATTTAATCTGATATACATTGATGCATGTAAATCAATAAAATTTTAAGTAAAAAACAGTCTTTTTCAGATGGAGTAAACAAGTCGTTACTATAACACGTTTCTTGTTAACACTGATTTTACTTTTACTTCATGTATTTCCGTTTTTTTAGAATTACTTGGTAAATGCAGCAAACACTGCCCATAAAACTTCTGTAGAATTTGGCTTAACAGATTCTTGTTCAAAATCCAAATCCAGAAGTTCTCGGACTCTTTTTGATGCTAGCTCGTAATCATCGTCATTGAGCGGGGCAAAAGCATTCTCTAAAACATCACTGGCATGGGCAAGGAATATCAGAGCCAGCATTCGCTTATCCATGCGTTGTGGATCATTTATCCATTTTGTTAATACTGCATCTTGAATCTACACAAAATTGGATATCAAAATACTTCAAACATTATTAAAATAAAAATTACCTTTTTAACAAGGCGACATTTTGTAACGTTGTCGGTAAGAGGATGGGTTGTCATATCAAAAAGCAAAAAATTCTGTTTCTCAGTGGTTAAAACGCCCTTTTCAACTAAATTCTTTGCTAAACGTTCTCTCACGTTTTTGAGTTGATATCGCAATTTTAGCGGATTCCATGTCTCGCCTATTAAATCAAAGCAAACGTCGTAATTTTACGTGTATTGAAAACTTAAAATTATTTAAAACAGTATTTGTATAGATAAAAGTTTATTTATTTGGAGCGTACTTAAATACTAGATATTGGTAAAATTAAAAAGCTGCATTACTATAATCTTTTTTGATACATTCCAAATTAATAATTAAAAATATATCGGTTTTATCAAATACTTTCTACAGATAAGTGATATAATACCTGAATAATGTTAATAAAAATGACAATTAACAAGGCCACAAAAATATATCTACAAAAGATAAAAGTAATAGGAACATCTTTACAGAACAATTTTTAATTTATAATTTTGTAATGTTTTTTTTTTAATAAAACTGACACTTACCACTTAAATATTCAATCCAACTTTGAACAGTTTCAGGTGGATCTGTTTCTTTTATATGTTTTAAAGCTTCATCCAATAAAACATCACCTGTAGGGGTATCACTTTTAAGAATTAGCTTTCGAGATAAAAGTCCCTTGCGTCTCATGCCAGCCTTCTCCAACTCTATTCTTCCTCGTAATCCGAGTTCAACCAAGATGCACCCCCTTAAGCCACTAGATATACAATCATTCCAAAATGAAGTGTAACCCTTTAAAATACAAGTAATTGATGGTGGCCCTTATGGCAGGTATTTGAAAGTGTGTAGGTACCTCTTTATCTTTAAGTCCGAGAAGTAGAACTTCTTCCATTAGTGTTAATCGAGTTTCTTTTGAGTCTCCATCTTCTAAGTCATCAACTCGATCATCTTTCTTATCAAATCCATGCTGTTCCTTAGTCACACCTTCACTACTTTCACGAGTTATATTTTTTCTTTGTATGAGTCCATCAGTACGATTCATTTTCAATAGGAATCACAGTCAGTTTACTAATATATATTCTATTTTTTCGCAGAGTATGGGTATATATGATAATTTAGGAGCTTCAATAAAGCTTTAATTGTGAAATTTCAATGTTGACGTTTAACAAGTCAATAAACATGGCGAAATGTCAAATTGATAGTGTGGTTCACAACATAAATGAGTTAGTATTTGAAATTTTGAAAATATTCATTAATTTTTTTAAACGCATGCATTTTGGGTAGAAGTCAGAAAAGAAGTACTGTCTTGTATAAATTCACTTACTGCGTAGCAGTTTTTTAAAAGAAATTAAAAATCTAATCAAAAATAAAGAAATCATTTACGATTAGTTTTAGTTCGTAATTTGAACAACTCACAAAAACTGTCAATGAAATTTTGTAGTCGCCAAGTAGTTTTGCTATTATTTCGATAGATGGCAGCAAATGTACAATTTTTGCTTAAATACACTCATAAAAAAAATTATTATACTAGTTGGACCCACTTAATTGAAGTTGCATGATGTAATGGTGTTATTAACTTGTTATTACTTGTAAAAAATAATATTCTCACACACAATTAAAACAAGGGAAGTGTTAACAATATATGATATTTTAATACGTATTTCAAATTAAAAATGTTTGTTTTCTTTTGTTTTAATACGCATTAAAAAGTTTTTAAACTGTTGTATTTTAAACTTTTTATTGTCTTTTTGTATTATTAGGAATTGATTATTGAAAACAGTTGGAATATTTATTAAATAAATGTATGATCATTATATCTATAAAAGTTTACACGAACTAAAAAGCATTTCTGTTTATGTAAGAATCGTTGATAACATACTGGCGCCGGAAGAATATTATTTAAGAAAATAAAGATTGCGATATACACAACAAATTTTGGCTTATCTTTTACAGTTGTGTTTGTGAAATTTAATGTCATTTTATTAATTATATTTTGAAACTAAATTCCACTCGGGTAATGGTTTAGTAGCTATTTTGTTTTTCTTTGATTATTTTTTTTATTTTATCCTCTACCATCTATTTTATAAGGAATATAAAAAATAATAGTGACTAACTAGTTATAACTTTTAAACATTATTTTGTGATGTAAGTAATTAATCGTAAAATTAATCTTTGAATAAGTTTAAATTCGGATTTAAGCTTCATGGCTTTATATGTTGTTATGCAGGTTTTTTGTACCATAATAAAATAAAAATTTGAATGAATCAATTAATTATATGTGAATATTTACGTATTCGCTGTTGTTGTCCATTGCGCGATAAGAAAACGTTTGTGTACTTTTTAATACAGGCGTTGCTGAAGTAGAATTAGATCACCCTCTAATCAAATTATTTTATTTTTAAGAATGGATATTTACTCGTACAGTCATCATGTTTTTACTGTGTTGATGTCCAAATAGTTTTAAACAGTTATAACAACAGTAGGTCTTTATAAAAACTTTTCTTTGAACTTGGGAACTAAAAAAAGAAAATTCAAAAGAAGTGCTTCGCCGTGAGTAACGATTTTGATGCAATCGATTAATTAAAGTATTATAAAATATGTTGGAAAATTGAATAAGCTAAATAAAAAGAATGTTAAAACGTGTTGATGATTAGCACCAGTGAACTCACTAGCGGGACCCAGAATCTAGTGGGCCCAGACAACAGAACTAGGTATTATATACAACATACCAGTGCCACATGAGACTGAGAGCGATTGACATCGTTTGTGGCTTAACTCGCGGTCAGTTTTGTGTACGTTTGTTGTGTACGGAACACTTGAAAAAATAAGCAACAACATTTGCCAAAAACAATTTTCAATCAGTGAATACTTTTCAGAAATGCGTCTTTTATGTGAAAATTTTCTTATCCAGGAGTGACATTCATTTTTACCGAAGTTATCGGTGGTTTTTTGAAACGTCTTCATAAGTGGTATGTTTTTTGGGGGCCGTTAACCCACATCTTTTTTTATTTATAAATGTTATTGTCATATTATATGAAAATGGCACTTTTTTATTTTGTGTGGGCACTCATTAACAAGCGGAGTTTGCGATCAGTCATGTTTAGGTCACACACCTTCGAATTTTAATTTTTCCATGAATTCCTCTTGTAAATTACATCACAACTGAATTAATTTTATTGTACTTATTGCATTTTGGATTGTGCACGCCTTCGAAAATTTGTTTCTGCTATAATAGATGTACGCATGCGTCCGGAATTAATTTTTTATTATTCTTTTTCTACCATTATTTATGATTAGACATTATGAACTTTTTTACCCAAAGATGAAATACTTTTCGATTCAAATATTTGATCTTATGACTTTATCTTACGTCTTTCAAACAAGTTTTTCGAGTTGTCGCTTTTTTTTCACATCACGTGAAAACAGGGCATAGACTTTTTTTATTTTATGTCGTCTGAATGTTTTAATATTTATAATAGATAATCGTCATCGTCAGAAGTTTATTTATTTTGCAACAATAGATTAATAGGAACTTCTTTATACCATGTACTTATATGTATGTAATTGAATTTGACCGTCCGATATTCGATTGTTACTATTTTGTAGGAATGTTTGTAGTATATGTTGACATAATTATTATTAGTTAGTATCCATGTGAAAGTGTCAACGTTATTTTTATTAGTTCATTAATTGTTAATACGAATATATGCACTTAGATTGTGTGACTCATAAATATATTATAAGCTAGTAAGTAAACAGTTTTAGCTCATTGAACGAGACATACTGTGGTCGTGAAAACAATGGGCTGTTCATTCTTAATTCATTACGCACATTTTAATATGTATATAAATAATATCTACTGAATGAATTTATTTCTACCCAAGGAAATATGACTTCCCAGTTTTTATTTTTATCAATAGAACTTTTTTTGCAATTTAATTTTTTGCTTCAGTAAACTACGTAAATATTTGTGCGTTCCTAATTCCTGTTAAATGTTTGCTTATAACTAAATGTTTTTATTAAATATCCGATACATATGCATATATAAGTACAAAGTTTTAAATTGTAGACGTAATGTGCCATTGCGATTTACATACAACATAAACCCGAACGATGAAAAGGCTTTATATTGTCTATCTGAATAGCATCCTATAATACAATCTCACATAAACACCTTGTTTGTATCTGAATTTAATAACCTTGATTTACCTCTCTGTTTTTACGTCTACATTTTTTGTTTGTTTTTTGCTTCATTAATATTCTATTTCAGATAAACTCTTACCATTAGCTTGTTATATTGTACCTAATGATTACTCAAAAAATCCTTTAAGCGAATAAATCAAAAGCGAGCTTGATCGAAAATAGATTATACGTTTTAAATCGTTATTTTTTTTATATAAGCCTAATAGGAATTTATCCTTTACATTACTACGGTTTTGTTTTACTTACTCTGTAAGAAATGATGTCAGTGTTATATGGAGTAAACTGTGAAATAAATAACATGTGATACTTTGCTCTTTTTTTTTGAGGATTCCAACACATGTTTTCTTTCTGCTAGTGACGTTATCCTACAATATATTCGTTTGAAACTATACAGGGTGGATTTTATTAAGATTAGTACCCAAGGTAATTGCAAATTCTAGGCCTTAATAATGTAGGATGTATGTCTGTATAATAGGTACCTTTGTTTTCTTGTTACAAAAAAATAACGTATTTTGCAATTTGGTTTTAGTAAGCGAACAAAATGAATAAATTATTTGTTATTAACAAAAGTTTCTTACGTAGATTTTATTTGTACATACACATGCATTATGTTTTACCGAAATTATTTCGCAAATGTTTCTTTAAAAGATGTATTATAGGTAGGTATATGCTATAAATGTATTTACTTTCTACTGCAACAAACAAAATAAATTTACTCCCACATTTCGAAATGTAGCTACAAAATATACATATGTAAATTCGTGTATTATGTAATGATTTGGTCATCTACATATTGTAAGTGCCGAGCCTGTATAGCAAAATGTGCCGCTCAATCGGTTATTTTCGGTAAATAATAACGTTTTATAGTATGTTACACAATAAAATTGGACGATTCAAAATATCATCTTTTGTGTCGAATGTGATACAACAGCAGATGTAATTAAGTGTGTAGAAATAACGTTTTATATTGATTAGTGACTCATACTTAATCAGACTATCCGTAATTTTTATGGTTTACTACTAGTTTTATTACTTCTACAGTAACCACCTATGTGTATGTACAAGCACTTGGAAGACATGCAAACAAGTACATCTTTCATATCTTTATCGTGAGAGGAAACTAAGTAGGTTTATTGTGTATAACATAATTGTAAAAAAAGTTGATAACAACGTCAAAAGGCTCATGCCCTTTTTAAACCAATTAGTATTCAATGACACTCTCGGCCGGAAGTGAGAAGAAAATTATGATACAAACGTAACGTGAATGTTTTATTTTACACATACTGAATGAATGCACCTGAGACTTGCCGTCTCTTCACTATTTTTTTTTTTTGCCTGAATACTAATAATACTTGGTTTACGATTGTTTGTATTTCAACGTGTTCATTGTCATGTTTATAGGTGTTACTTGTAGCGAGATAAGATAACACCCAAAGTAAAATTACATTCAACTATTAAAATATATCTTAACGTGAACCTCCAATTTGGATGAGGCCATCACAGTGCTTTCTATCATGGAAAAAATTAATAAAAAATAAAATTGGAGAAGAAATTATTAAGAGATGCGATCTATTTGGAATACTTGCATTCGAAATGCAAATACAAAATAAAAAATACCTATTTTTATCTTGCATTTAAATGCCTTTGTAAAATGCAAAATACATTTTTGTCGTTAAAAGTTTGGCTAGTATCATCGATCAAACATTATATAAAATGATGAATGACAGTTGTTCAGATTGGCCATTGAAGGTATTAGAACCTTAAAAAGGAGACAAAGAGACGTTCCACGAATGCCTTCTAATTCTTTAACTGAAGAGCGCTCAAAAAATTCTAAACTCTTTAGAAATTGATTACTTTGCTATGATCGACATTGTTTTCCGGGTTCAGTCTCATGGTTGATGAAATTTTGAAAGTTCCAAATTGATATCACCACCTGCTAAATCTACGAAATTCTATTCAAAACAATATCGAATTGAAAAACGCCAGTTGTGTAATACTGAAAACTACAAGATATTGTGGTATGCAAATCCAAAATTCTTAGAAAACGATTCGAAAAACTTTACTTATTAGATGAACCCAAAGCTAAAGAAACTGATTCCATTTGATTCTCTTATTATAATGTGTAAAAGATCAGAAACAAAATGGGGTTGTAAATATTTTGATATAAAATGATTGATCTTGTTTTTATATCAATAAAATTATTTGCAACCCTATTTTGGCTCTGACGTTTCACGGTAAATAGACGTACTATGTACTTTGCATCTATGTATGTATTTATCTTCATTCGAATTAAAATGCGTATTATTTCCGGATAGATTTAGTTTATTTTTACGTGTTCTGTTTGTAAAATATGATTAAGGGAAATTGTTGTTATCTTTTAAAGTAAGTTGGACTATTGAAAGTCTTAGCTCCTCGGTAGGTCTTATCTGGATCCCTCTTAAAAGCAAACAAACCGCTAGTTTGACATTCTACCTCCAGGCGCACACAAGTTCTTCGTGGAATTAAAAAATTATCGTGCTTAGGCTACAAACTTTCAAGTTAAACTTGTAATTTAAAATCAATATTTAAAAGTGGGAAATATTTTTTGAAAACATACCATAAATTTTAAATATCTATTAGGATGGTATGTACATATGGTTCACCTATTCGATAAAATACATAAATAAGTTTTCTTCAACGATTTGGTTTCTTGGTTAGAAAGTTGCATTAAAGTTGCGGAAGTTAAATTGTAATTGGAAGAAACCTCAGAAGTTTCTAATGTTGCACTTTTACTATAGAAATCATAATCTAACAAGTTTTTTCGTTTACCATAATGTTTTTATTAGCACAGTTGCCTGTTATGAAAACAGTGTAAACTCTCCGTAACGAAGCTCAAGGCACCACACCTTTTCTTATGGGCAATTTTTTATGTAGAATCAAAAAAATACCCAACACAATTTTATAAATGAAATTTGTAATGTTTAATGTTGAATCAGAATCATGATGATCTCGAATCGGAAATTTCCATCGTTATAGAGAGTTACATTGTACTTTAAATTCAAAAAAATTCTAGTAAGTAATTTACATATGGATATAATAAACAAGTCGCGTATTATGTTGTAATAAATTAATGATAATGCAAGTTGGTGTATCAAATTTGTACTACGGAAGTTGAGTTCAATCAAGTCGGCTTGTGTGCCAGTTGCACACAATCAAGTAATCTGGAAATGATGATTGATTTTAACAGCATACTAGTAGTCCGCAGTCCACTTGACTGAATATTAAATGAATAAGCGATGAATTAACTAGATCCGATGAAACCTTAAATTATAAACAGCTTTTGTACAGTGTGTAACATCGGAAGAAAATAGTTAAATCATTCGAATAATGGATATGTACTTATTTAGGTTTTGTAATTTTTTAAAGAAATACTTGCTTTACGTATGTATATGTATGTACAAAGTTACTTCACAGTTAAAAATAACTTCATTTACTAATAAAATTGTCATACGAATCCGGAACTATTATTGTTACCTACAAAATATATACAGGTAAGGCAAAACGATCACTGTACATGGAAATTACACATTTTTTCTTTTATCACAATCATCGGTTAAAAGTTTTTCTTTTTTGTCATGTATTGTGTTTATAAATTTTCTTAAAAGTGGATCATGAGAAGCAAGAATACATAGAACATAATAATTATTATTATCGATCATTGGGTCGACTATGAGATTACTGTTACTTTTGGCGGCGTCTGAAGCTGGAGTCAAAGAGGACCATGATA